TCTCCTGATTTCTTGTTTCAGTTTTTGGTGATATCTTCTTGTACTTATACAACTGCGACCACCTTAGCCTAGTTCAAGTCATTTTGAAATTAATCTGTTTGATTCTGTGATATATTCGTTACACTTTGTCTGGGTGATTTGTTTTCTTTCTTATTTGACACACAAATCCTTTACCTTTTTTTGTGCGTGTTACATATTACAATTTCAAATGGTCTGAAACTGAGTTAAATGATACTTTAAATCTGGTAGTTAAATTGTACTTTGGATTTAGCGGTTAAGTAAAAGCCGATAGATAGTCAGTTTATGATATTTGCCAACAAGATTGATACACACAGTTTTCTTTTATACAAATATGTTTTAATATACAAACAAGAATACAATTTAAAATAACAGTTATTACAAATAGTTATTGTACACAATGATTTATAAACAAAAGTTTTACAAACTTACAAGCAATATAAAGCATTCTTATAATACAATCACCCAAAATGATCAAGTAGCGAAAAATAAGTTTTGTTAGTTTAATAGTCTGATAAATTGAAAATAATAATAAACGTTACACCTTTATCCAATAGTATAACTGTGAAAAACGTGCAAAGTGATCAATTTATATTTTAAAAGAAAACTTAGCTTCTGTGGCAGTCTAAATTTTCAAGTCTGAGGTATTATGGTATCAGGTGGTATCTTTTTTTTTGACTGTCCTGAAGTCTTCTCAGATCCATCTTCCAGATACGTTACGTAGATCGATTTAATTATTTCACAAAGGCACGAAATGAACATGGTGTTGAAAACTTTATCAATCTTTGAAAGTACTCCCTGTAAAATTCTTTGTAATTTTAAATTCATTCTCGATTCTACGAATTTATCACATATATACTAACGTGCATTGTTATTTTTAGCTTTTTTTATATTAGTTCTAAGAACTCTGACGTAGTTCATACTTTTACGTCATGAGTTTCCTACGTATTCTTATTTGTCATTAGCTTGTAGCGCAATTAAATGTCTTAAGCTAGAGACTCAAAATTTCTCTAAAAGCTCTACTATGAACCTAAGTTAAGAGTACCGATATATCTTATCACAAAAAATGACGAATAGGGTCGTTCAAAACTTCCCAGTTCTATGTTTTTAGCCACGTCACAGCAGCTCATAGAAAAGCTCCGAGTTTTTAAAGTACAAACTTTTAGCTCCATCATCTCGTGACCGATTTGAGATTTAATTACAGTTTTGGACTCAGGAGGTCAAACCCTCTCCATTGATGTATTTGACCACACCCAAGGTCTCGTAGATTAATTTACTCTAATCCTGCATAAGATAATTTTAATTTGAGGGTAGACTCGTAGAGGCCATGATGAGTAATAACATCGAATCGGGTATACGCGCGCCCCACGCTTGGTATTGCTATTGCACAAAAAATATAGCTAATAAAAAGGTCTCATAGATTAATTTACTCTAATCCTGCCTAAAAGAATTTCAAGTACCGCGACTATTGAGGATTCCCTCTTGTTTTGTTTTATCTACACACTGTTTTAGAATTTATATCTGCGTCATGAGTCTAATTAACATATTGATATTTAGAAGGAATGTTTTAGTTTCAAGTATGAAGACTCCCATGACAACAGCTACAAAATGCACACATACAGTTATAAAAGTATAACTCTGCATATTTCATGTCATTTTGTGCATACATCATACTTGTTCTCTGATAGATTGTTTAGGCAGAATATTCATGATAAGTATACTAAAATGGACGGGAACTGCCTGTTGTAAAAAACACAAGTATAGAGGACGACGTTCTAAAGTCTGAAGACGAAAGAGGGAAGACTTTAGAAACGTCGTCTTTTACATTTTTTTTTTTTTTACAACAGGCAGTTGCTGTCCATTTTAATTTACTCATCATACTTGTTGTTAATGCATAACTGTTAAAAGTAATTTGTCCAACAATATTAGATGTAATATGATAAAGGATAATTACCTCTGTTACAACAGCGTAAGTCACGTGAAGCTGCTGGCGCGTTTGGCGCTGGTAGCGTGCGTGAAATTTCTCGAATGATCGGGGAGGCCCGCGTGCATTCGAGACGCCCCCTTTGTTAGTATATAAGCCTGGCAGAGAAGGCAGGATAGATAGATAATTAAAGAAGCGAACAGTAGTGACGGTAAGTAAATTGTGTGAATCACTGTGATTTATAGCGTGTATCATAAAAGTTATTAAGTTTAAAGTGACGAGAAACGTACTGATTGTGAAATTACTTTGTACTAAAAGTTTGTATTGAGAAAGAATAAACTGGTTCAATCAAGAAAGGACTTGTATCGCTGAAGTTCCTCTGAAAGAATTTCTACCGGAAATTAACAAACAAGCAGATACACAACACTTCCTTCCTCTTCTTTAATATCAAAAGTAACTTATTTGAATAGGGACCATAATGACATAAGTCTGTAGAATGCTAAGTGTATACTTCCATTTTTACCTAGATAAGTTAGTCATTATTATAATTAGATTAAAAGCGATTTTCTGTTATACTGATTACTTCGAAACACGTTCAACTAACACAAATGTTTAGAATTACGCCTTTTTCTATTACTCTTTATTTGAAACCCCTAGAAGGTTAACTTACAAGGTGTTAGATGCTTCTTTATCTCAAAATGTAATTCTGTAGAAGTTGCTTCTCTTTAAAATCTAAACAAAATGATATCTCTATGTGGTTCGGTGTTTCGGTCATTATACTCTAGCCAGATTTTCTGCTTATTTCTAAGGTACAAGTAACAGCTGTTCACATATTTGCTCTCGTCGTTTACTGGTTAATGGAAGCTTTAAATGAGTAAGAGATTAGGACTGAAAAATGTCATCATCTTCCCTCCCAACTTGCTTTGTGGTGGTTTATTTTTTAATAAAAAATGTATGTGTATAGAAGAAAAAATATTCCAAAATACCATCTTTTTTGCATAAAAAATTAAATTTTAAAGAAAGTATTACTCTTAGTTTAAATGTTGCTCTTCATGCATTAGCACTTCTATTTTGTTCGTTGTTCTGAGACAGCCATTTTTTTGTTTTCATGAATTCCAAGGAACACAAATCAAATACTGATTCTATTAACCCTCAGTTTTAACAAACACTGTTATCTGAAATTAAGTCTCTGAAAAACTGTGTTTTGTTTAATTTTACGAAGTATTTCTCTTAATACAATTTGAAATCCTGTTTGTCTGTTTTTTCTTGTCGTTTTCTTTCTTGGGAAGTGAGCCTATTTTTAAAACGGAATTTTTGGTTAAATTAAACATGTTTTAACGCTAATATGAGTAAATCATGTTATGTCACAGTACTGCTTACACGGTTACAAAATGGCACAATTAAAATTAGTAGTTCTACACACTGAGTTCTCGTACATTATTTTTGTCACGTAAATAGATTTACCACAGGGGAAAGATTATTGTTTTGTTGTTATGGGTCTGTATAAATAGTTCTACATGTCTGGAAAGGTTTCAAACTGCACTGAATATGGTACACTGAAAACTGTTTTACAGCTCTTGTCTTCTGATTGTTTGACAAACTAACCACAAGGAAGATAAAGAAAGGCAGCTGTAAACATTTACTTGCCAACTTCCAAAGTGTACATGTGCATTATCGATGCGCAAGTGACTCTTGAGTAGGAAAGAACAAACGAACATCTGGGTGCTTAAACCTAAACAAGCGTTGTTTCCGTTTGTCGGTGTATGTTTATAACTTTATATACATGACAATTATTTATAGTCCTAAACCGGATGTTGATATATGCCAAAAAGATTAAGTACAGGCCTGGGTGGGGGTGGGCACATAATTTCTGTTTTTAATACTGTTACATATGTTCTACATCATTCTTTGTCACCAGAACTGTGGTTACTTGGCATTAACTTATTCTGATCGATTAACTATACGTTGCTTTATTGGTAACACTTCCACATCTAGGTTTGGTGAACCAAAGAAGCATTATTTTTATATTTATACATGACTACATGTCTGTAGTTCACATTCATTGTATTGACTATTTAGCATTATATTATCTGTCGTAATTTGTAAGAATTTGATATTAGTACTGTTTCTAGCTTCTCGATACTTTAAATTACATTGTCATTAATACCTTTGAATTGGTTCAGGCCTTCTTATACTGGCAAGGAAGTATATACAAGTTATATGTTTGCTGTTAAAAATAAAATCCATTTCATTCTATCTAGAATATAAACTATTTTGTTTGTTTGTCTTCCTCGTGTATAAGTGTAAGTGTACGTATGTGTGGACAAGGTAGATGTATATGCTGGGATTACAATGTGTGTGTGAAGTGTTGGCATTGATGTAGTAGGTTTACTACATTGGTGTAAGAATAAATATACAGAAGACAAGATGGGCATACTTTAGGGAGGATGTTGGATTAAGGTTAACAGGATTATGTTTACATTATTGTTGTATATTGACGAGGAGAAAACAAATATTTTGGGCCCTACACAACGAGAAAAATGTTTTTAATCAAGATGACCATTTTTGGAACACTAAACATGTGATTTGATTAATTTAACGTGTTTTTGTATAAGTGGGTATACTTGGCAATGATGAAAATTTGGGTTTTGGTGACATGTGTCATAGAGCTTTTGGGTAATGACAGAAGATTGCTGGGTTCACTTCATGCTGGGAGATGGATCCCTGCGCGCTACGCTTGTAACTTATGAGGGGGGACAGTAATCTCCAACTGAGATTTCAGAAAAATAACAAATGCATTATTTGCACCAATGGTCGTTTAGACTAAAATCTTATATATCGTTGTTTCAAAGTGTGTGTGTGTGTGTGTACTGCATCTAATAGTGTTTGGCAAATAACCATATCATAGTTACCTAATAAGTGATTTAAAATCTTCCTTAGCTGTTATTACTTACAAGGTTATTTGGTTCTTTTATAGCTACTGTGCGTGAGTAATTCGCCAATTTGGTCAGTATTGAAACTATCATTTCACAGGTTATTATCCTTTTTTTAATTTCAGGACGACTTTGACTCTCTCCGGCCGCTCTGCTATCTCAACACAAATGTGTTCCTATTATGTTTTAGTGTAGTTTGTCCCACCTCATTTTACAACATCAAAGAAAAGTGGCTTCCAGAAATCAGAAGACACTGTCCAACCGCTCCTGTCCTCCTGGTAGGAACACAGTGTGATTTGAGGACAGACGTGAAGGTGTTGATCGAACTCGCCCATTATCAGGAACAACCAGTGACCGAACAAGAAGCTCGTAAACTTTCCCAATGGATGAGGTCAGTTGGGTACATCGAGTGTTCTTCCTTGACCCAGAAAAACCTCAAAGAAGTGTTCGACACAGCCATCTTAACTGCTCTTCAAAACATCAGACCAGATAGTACTAATACAAGTTGGATTAGTACCAAAGACAATTCTGTTTTTTCGAAATTCGCATATTCAGACTCTTTAAATGTCCCTTGGCAAACCAGAGACGTGTTTAGCGTTAAATCCAAGAATCGGAAAAAGAACTGGTGGAAGAAACTATGTTGTTTTCTTAAATGAACCGCATCCAAGTTGGATAGCTCACTCTTACCGATGTCATTATTTTGACGCTTATTGTATAATATGGTCTGACAGGTTGATTTACTGCCACAAGAATATTGACTTGTAAGTTATGATAAATATGTACTGCCACTAAAAATACCAAGTTGTGACCGCAACACAACTGTAATACCGGTTGTGACAGGTCAAGAAGAGGTCATTTCCAAGAGTAAATTTTCAGTTCATTTATACCGTTCCTATTCCAGACAACTCATTTTCAGATAACTTTTTTGTTATTAATATGGACAAGAGAATAATAGTTTTGAAGCGATCGGGTAGATAGTGTTTATGCACAGTGAAAAGATAATATGAATTTATTCCTTTCGTTGTAACATGAACAATTTGTGTCTTAATTTTTATATGGCAACCTTTTGATTATTAAGAACATGTATTACACGAAACATTGGACATCTATATATATATATCTTAAGAACCTTTACAGTAATGCCAAATCAGATTTTCCTTCCGTTTAAACTAGGCGTATATTTGTGTCTTCTTTGAATACATATTAATTATTTATCCCCCCCCCCCAAAAAAAAGCTTTTGTAAGTAGAAGAAAAGACATAGCTTAAAATATTTACCATTCCGACTAATTGACATGTCTTGACATTTGCTTTTGAATCCAAATAGGTTCAAACATAAGAAACACAGCGAATGACAGCATTTTTTAAACAGAATGTTTTGCATAACAAAGAAGAAGCAATATGTTTTCTAAAAGCGAGAACATTTTGGATTGGTTAAGAAGTTAAATTTATTATTCACTAAATAAAGAAAAATAATCCGCTGTGTAGAGAAAAAATGCAAGTTTGAAAACAAACATAACAATATCAGCAGAAACTTTACCTCAAAAAAATTTGTGAACTCAGTGAAACAGTGTTAATGGAACCGTCACTGGTTTTTAAATTAACAGGTCTATCCGAAGCATAGCTTTAAAAGTTAGGTCACTTCAAAGTCCTTTTAGAAAAAATGTTAATATATACTAGAGATCTCATTATTATTGTTTATTCACGTCACTGAAGTAAGGCTGTCTTTGAAATATATTTTTAAACTTTAAAACTCAGTAAAAAAGATGCTCTAGATGTCCAGTTTGTCAAGAAGGCAGCGGCCAAAAAAAAAAAAAATACTGAATGCGATTTTTGGAATTCTGAAATGTTCGTGTTAATGTTTAATTTTACTGATATGCTAGAATTGAGTTATAATACTGAGAGTCATAAGAACTGTATTTAATTTGTTGAACGTTATTTGGATCAGCGTAAACTGGACTTCCAAATACGAAACACGTCTGAAAAGAAATTGTAAATAGTAGGAAGAAACCTCTAGTTTGTGCAACTATTTTTATACACAAATCTGTGATGAAAAGGTTGTTCGCAACTTGTCACAAACACATGAATGTGAATGATTCATTGTAGTTACATCTATTATCTTTGTACGATTATGTTCTATGTCTATATATTTATATATACCTATTTTGTGTAAGGAAGAGAGTAATTTGTATCCTTTCTTTGTGTGATACATAAGCTGATAGCAAGCTTAACCAAGAAATCTGTATACATATCAATTTTCATGGATTGAAAAATCAGCATTACTGGCGCGTAAGAGGTAATCTTTGAGGCTCTTGTATATAACCATACTGCGTATTCGAGAAAGGAATTCACTACTTTAATACTAGACAGCTGAACGGGTTTATAGGTATCATGCATCTCCCGCTGTTGCTATAATTAATTATGAAAAATCTAAGCTTAGCCTTCATGGTCTGCTCAAAGATTACAGCTCAGCTGTAGGCCTTTTAATGTTGATTGAATTTATATAAAGAAAGAAAATTACTAAATCTCTATATTAAACTGTAAATAATGACTGTGCGCCCTTTTAATGACTTGTAATTCTCTATATAAGTTGGATAAATGGAATTAAAAAACATTTGTAAATAAAGTGTGTTATGTTCAAGATTGAAATATGAAAATGCGCATGCGCGGTACAAAATGGTAATATGCAATTGTAATTAGTATATTATTAGCCTGTTAAAGGACAAGCTCCTTAGAAATTCGGTAATAATATTTCTAACTAATTGTTTACATAGTGTACCAGTATCGCTAAGACCTATGTGTGTTCTAAAATTACATGCCTAATTTTCGTAGTTTTATTTTTTAACCAGGAATAGCTTAATTTTTTCTTTATTGGAATCCTTAAGTTGTTATGTTTAAATAAGTTAGACTCCTCATTAAGTTTTATATGCAAACAATAACGAAAATTGACATTGTTATGTTGCTTTGTCAGAAAACTTTATTTTTAGACCTTTCAATTATTGTAAGTACCTGCTCAGACCTCTCTCTCTCTATATATATATATATATACATATATTATTCTTAAGTACCTGCTCAGACCTCTCTCTATAAATATATATATTGGGGGGGGGGGTATAGGAATAAAATCACATTGGTGAACCTGGCAGAATCAAGAAAAACACGTATGCAGGAAAGGATTATTTTAATTTTCTATTTCATATGGTAACGTACAGGTAATAGATCTATCTTAGATGCTTCAATTCTGTAGTTGAATGCTCTTACTTCCAGGTAACAATCTAAATAAATCATTGAATTATTATTTTTTTGGTTCTTCGATTGAACAATGTTACTTACAGGTATTGTACCTACTTATAACTTCCCAAAACAATTTTATGTGAAATATAGACATATTTAAGTAAGAAATTGAAAGAAAATATTTTTATACTGTGTTTTCATTACGCGTGCAACAGAAGGTTAAACATTCATCATAATAAATAGATATTGTTTTACGTTCTTGTATAGTAAATATGTATACCTATCTGTATACCGAACGTGTAATTTCATTCTTGGTTGACACGTGTAAGGTTGGTCAGCTATTACAACTTTGTGAAATGTAACCACGAGCTTTATATATTAGACAGAATTATAAAGAAAAACAGGATTTTACAATCAGTTTCTGTGAACCCAGTTGGAGTTTAAGTATTAAAAATAAAAGGAGTTTTCCAAGTTCTATATTAAACTGTTTATATGAAAAACAGTCTCTAAGAGATGCAATTAACCGTTTATAACAACATCACCAGTTAACATTTAGTTTATCTACTTATAACTGGTATTGTCAACAATGGTACTCACATTATTTATAAGAAATGCACACGAACTGAGATTTCAAGCATATGTATTTAATAGGGCAATTAATGTTACACAGAAACGAATAAATAATAGGTATAGAATGGATTACTGGTAGTAAGCTACCTTATGTACATAGGTGTAACTTTCACGGGGAACATGCACCCCGCACCTTTTCAAAGATAGAATGTTTTTGTTGTTTTTTTCTCATAAAATACCCTCATGCATATTCTAGCTACAGAAACGGTTCCATCCCACGCCACTGTTGATGTATGTAGTATCCACTTGTATTTTGCTCAAGGTTAAATTTTGCGTTTTCATACACTTAACAAATACTTAAAATCAGTCCGTGTATTTCAATGTAGTTGCAAATAAAATTATTTTCAACTAGATGGTAAGAGGATCATGTATTATTTATATTTTTAACGAAACACTATTGTTTGCTCTTCGCCAGGAACACACTGATATGTATAAGTTATAGTTGCAAATTAATGTGTTTTTTTCAATAAAATTTTTTAATTTTCTACGACCTGATTAAAAAAAGCATGTAGGAACTTAGGAATCTCAACATCCAAAAATCTGTGACTTGAACTGTAGAAACGCCACAGTGTAGTCGCAAACAAATTCATCACATGTTGCTAAGCCTAGTGCTGCTAAGAATAACATACCAGAACAAAAGATAATACAAAACTCCAGAAAGAAAACATGTGAATACTAAAGACCTGTTCTTGTTTAGTACAACGTTATAACTATAACTGAAGAAAACAGAAACCGAACTCTACTACTTAACACTAATGAAAGAAAAACAAGCATTATACATAAAGGTCACAAAATGATAAATAGTGTGTTATGACTGGTCTGTTCAAAGTTATTCAAGAGCATGAGTTGTAAAGTAGTTATGGAGACTAAGACAAAGATAACTAAGAAACTAAGTTGTAAATTAATGTCAAGGAGACCGCGATCAGGCTTTTGAAAAATAAACGTGTCTGAATTTGAAAATTGTGATAGGTTTCTTGAAGAAGAAACTACACAGATTATGGATTGGTCAGCAAGAAGTCTTGACTTAAATCATATGTAACAATTCTGGGAGTCCGTGTTTGTCAGTACTTTAACAGAAATAGGAAAGAATCTTTTATAATAACATCCACCGTTGGAGAGGTGGGAAGGCATACTTGATACCCCTTATTATCTTTGTTTTGTTGTTAAATATGGCTGATTCAAACATGTTATTTTAGTAAGATACTGCTTCTGACTACTTTGAATTATTTCAAGTATTGTAACTAGCGATAGATTGTCAATAAAATTGATTTAATAATGTATTCATGGATTAAAATGATGCTCCAAAAACATACTCTAACTTCAACAGCACTGTACGTTTAAAATACTTTATAATTTGTGGGAACTGTATAATAAAAGGGCCTAACAAACAAATTTTGAACGTGATTAGGCTTATTAACCAGAACAGGCGTTGGTTTTCTTAAATGGAAAAAAATACTAAAATTTCTTACATGTTCAATAAAAAACTTTGTCTTTTCTAGCCAGTGAATCAAAAACTAAGAAAAAAGGCTTAGATGTCATCTGCATGGTTAGCTGAGTCACATTTATTTTCTCCCGTTCTTAAAATAATACCTTCTGTGAATAATTAGACCACAAGTAAGGTTTTCATTTCAACGGTGTCATTCAAATCATCAAATGAATTTTTTTTTTGTCTTTTTTCTGAAAACGAGTGTTTCTCAGCAAAATAATAACGACAAATGTAATGTTTTTAATGAAAGTTTATAGATGTGGTTTTGCAGGTTCCGCAGAATTATTCGTTTTTGTTTTAAATCACTTCTGATATCACTGTGCTCTTTAGTCTCCCAACGTCACCTCAAGGTTTGGTTCGATTACAGATACTGTAACTTCCGAGGTGCTTACAAAACCAATTATTACAATAACTTAGTCTCCCAATGTCACCTCAAGGTTTGGTTCGATTACAGATACTGTAACTTCCGAGGTGCTTACAAAACCAATTATTACAATAACTTAGTCTCCCAATGTCACCTCAAGGTTTGGTTCGATTACAGATACTGTAACTTCCGAGGTGCTTACAAAACCAATTATTACAATAACTTTCGTCACCTCAAGGTTTGGTTCGATTACAGATACTGTAACTTCCGAGGTGCTTACAAAACCAATTATTACAATAACTTTCTGCAGGACGAGCGATGTCTAGTGACTTATTGCTGCAAAAACACGCTCCGCACTTTGTGATCGTGGGTGTGCTATAAGAGTAACGATTAAATCCCACTATTCGATCAGACAAAAGAGTAGCCCGAAACTAGCAGTTTGTACTGCTGACTAGCTGCCTTTCTTCAAGTCTGTCAGATATAATTAATGGTGGCTATGTATAAATAACTAACCCTATGAATAGCTTTTAGCGAAAATTCTGAAACTAAAAGGTATTTCAAGATTCCTACTAGTTGTTGTTAGGCGCTAAAAATTTTCTTAACTTTTTCAAGCTATCTATCTACGATATATCAGAAATATCCTTCAATATCCCCTAGTGATTTTGTAAATCAAATGTTTATCCTATCACTTTTTCAACCCAACTACAAATTTCGGGAGTATCCCTGAAGATACCTTTAGTGGATATTTAGCCGACCATGTTTTTGAAACTTTACTACAGTTAGAAAGTTAAGAATTACAGTAAACAGATAGGAATGTTTTCTCTAGCTTTGTTTAAAATTTATGGCTAGCAATGTTGATAACGTTTATCACAATAGAGGAGAAGGAAAATATACAACCATTGTCATGAGGCGAAGGTGACTTAATTCTTATAGTCATTATCAGATTGGTTGTGTAACGAGGTATTCAGGTACACTGATATCAGTTACAAAATAAATCAACCAACTGCAAAACGCAAATTTCGGAAAAATTACACAGAGAGCTATAATGAATTTGGACAGTAAAGCAAAACAAGCAAACACACATACACAAATATTCATAGCTATTTTACTTAATTGCCAATATCTATGTTCTTTGGACTCTTAACTGACTGCTGGGGCTAGAAAAAGGGTTTCCAATTGTATCCCTACAAGACAAAGACAGATAAAAGAATAATATAATAGCGCATTTTCAAGTTAGACCAGGGACCTAGTGCAAAATCCCACAATCTTTGGATTGCCTATGTCAACGGTTTTTGTATAATCTCTTGGAATGGATAAGACCCCACTCTAGGCGGGTTCTGATACAGAAACGTAGTTGTCTACATTTACATGAGTTGTATGAATGAATATTTACTTACCAAGATGTCCTCAACTACAAAGGTTGAGTATGTTATTTTAAAACGAATTTGATGTCTCACCATGTCATTAGTCCGATCTTGCTTTACCTGACGACCATGCATCACACCAATAGACTTGTAGCATAGTTTCCATAGCAAAAGTTTCCATCTTAAGACTATAATGTCTAAAGCATACCCATTCTCCCTTCATATTATCTTAAGCCATCTAGTGTATGAGGACTGTAGCTTCTCAGCATTCATTCAACAGTCTGCTGCACAGAATTCCATAGGCGTTACGTCTGTTATGTCTTCATAAGAAATAGCATGAATATTCATTCATTTAATTTTCCAGTTGCTTGAAGTATGCAACGGTTGAATGGGTGTGTTGTGGAATTAAGTTGGGTTGCTTTTCCAATGTAGATCCTTCTTGATTATGATGTGTATTGTTGCCTGAGACACGAGAATGGCTTTTGACACTGACCTTTGTATTTGTGGATTCTCACCTGTTACAAGATGCCTCACATGGCTACGAAGTGGCGTCTTGTAGGTCTTTTTCTGGTTGGTCCTTTGTGCTACAAGTTCATCCGCATTCCTTTGGTTTCCATTGCCATTAAGTAAAAGGAAAATTCATGCCTTAGAAATTCTAAATCCTCGATCTGAACAAATCTTTACCATCTGAGTGTATGATTATTTTGCGTCAGAAAGGGGTGTTATGTAGTTCCCTAAAAGTGATCAGTTGTTGATGGCGTCACACTACCTATGAAATGACAAAGTCAATATGTAGTTCAGATACATGTCGTTTCACCGCGACTTTATATTGATTTGCATATTTAAACTCTTTTTAATATAACGTACTGAATCCTCTCTATGTACAGAACACCTACATGAAAATTTGGAAAAATTGCCCTAAAATACAAAAGACATACACTGTATTAGTTATGGACAGTCGAAATTAGCACGTATTTCAACTATGACAGTAAATAACCTTGCCTTTGCCTCCAAAAAATAAAACTGCGCTTTATTTCTGTCCTATATGCCTTTTATGGGTCCTATTTTTTTTTTTTGAAATTAATTTCATACTTCTAAAAATCGGGTTTTGTTACCCATGGTAGGCAGAGCAGAGACAACCCATTGTATGGTTTTGTGCTTTAGAGCAAACCAAGCTGAAAAGAATTAATCTTTAGAAAATAGGCCTTAGGGCGCTCGACTCGCAGTCTGGTGATGACTAGCTGCCTTCCCTCTAGTCTTACACTGCTAAATTAGGGACGGCTAGCGCAGATTGCCCTCGTGTAGCTTTGCGAAATTCAAAAACAAACAAACAAGCTTTAGAAAATAACGCCCCTTGCAAAATTAAACCGTTTGACGATGCGTATAATGTTATAAATGAATAACTATACCTCTAAAAAATTCTGTCATTGTGAACCAAGTATGTGCTTTGAGTAGAAAACAATTTTTGTTTGGGATGTTTAATATTTGATCTACGCTTTTTCTAAACATTTAAGTAACGAATTAGAAATAAATATTATGCTGTTGTTTTTATTTTCACGGTTTATATGTAAAGATATTTGGTATGTTATATGAAATTCTGAAAAAAAAATGTTTTTCGGGTATCTAAATTATTAAAACATTCATAATTTTATTCTCTGTTTATACTATTTACACTGTTGAGATGTTAAACGCTATCA